ACTCTGGGATGCGCCGTGTGCTTCACATCCCTTCAGATTCGAGGACTCACTTGAAAGATGAAATATCCCTTGGAAAGCGTGCGAATTTCAGATTCTTTAACTTGTGTGGTGATAAAACACTGAAGTAACTAAGAATTACTACGCGGACACCTCAGAATCACGAAAATTTGTGGGCGGAATATCATTGTTATTGGAAATCCTCTGGCCTGGCATCGACTCGATCCTTGATGTTTGTCCTCCGACGGTGATGATCCTACTGCATCAATCCGGCCCGATCTCTTCCTCCCAGCGGGCCAATACGACCCCCCCCCCCCCCTTGACGTGTCGAGGATTCCTCAACGCACGCTTGACCTTGGTTCCCCAGAGACCCTTCGCGCGGCAAAGGGACGAATCATACTGTAGCAGTTAGGCTCAAAATTGGATATCTCCTCATACACGCCGCTTTTTCTTGTTTGTTTTTTACGGTATTACTTTCCTCCACATTCAACTGCCCCCAGACTTCTCGTCTTTTGTACGTCTCATCCTCTTCCTCACCACAAAGCCTAGAAAAGATCAATGAAAGATAACTCACTACAACGTATTTCGAAATGAGCACTACAGATATAAGGTCACATCTGAAAAGGTAAATTTAGAACCTTTTGAGCCTATTTGTTGACACGTTAGGCGACGCTCTTATGCGTTGTATATTATACTCCGCAAAATCTTTACGTTCGCATCTCCATGTTGCGTGAATCATCTGGAATTGCTCTGTGACATTCGTTAGAAAACGTATGCGAAGGCTAACTATGATCCTCATGAACGTCATCCTCATGGACTGTGAATCGTTTTAGAAAGCATGCTCAATTGTTATTGCTTTTGCTAGGTTGTTAGGAAAGTTTGAAGTTTTCGACCCTGAAATTCAAATGGTCGGCTCAAATGCAGCATTTTATTTTGTAATGAAAACCATAGTAATGTATCAATTTTTAACCAATCCGTTTGCTTGAAGTACTGGTCTTTTAAGTCGACAACATGTTGGTTCATCAACATGTTACGTCATGTAGCTTGTATTTTCAATGGGGCAATTTGGAGAGGTAAGCAAACCAGCCCTTTTGGCGTTTCGGCTGGGACCGTATGCTGAATGTTGGGGAGGGGATGGGGTCCCCAACGGTCGACGGTTTACTTCAACTCGGTTGGTACGATAGGAGAGTACTGACGCAAGTGGTGCAGCTGGTCCAGCAGCTCCGCCAGAAGGGCTGGTTTGCTCACCCCAGGACTAAGCCTTGGAGAGGGGACGGACCCGTCCTCTCTTTAAGGCTTAGTTCTGAGGTAAGCACCAAATTGTGGCGGTTCTAAGGACCGAGTTGAAGTGGTCCGTCCACCGTCGGGGACTCCATCCCCTCCCCAACATTCAGCATACGGTCCCAGCCGAAGCGCCAAAAGGGCTGGTTTGCTTACGTCCTATTTGGACGGTTGAAAAATTAGCAGCGAATAGTGACACGTCTAGTGAAATTAATTCAATGCCTCAAGGAGGCGCTGGACTACGCCACGAAGAATCTCTATTATTCATTTGAGTGTCTCCTAGTTGCCGGATGAGGCTCTTGCCTGCTCGAGTTGGTAAAGTGAAATGGTGCGAATTCACTCGCTGAGTAGTTCGCCGGCACATTAATCGGTGTGTTTCATTATGAAGCTGAAGGTCAAATACTGATTAGGTCTTCTTCACATTTTCATCGTTTTCAAACACGAACATGTGTTGACTTTATCAAAGATTCTATTGTAAATACATACAAATTTTATAGGTTTTGGCCCTCCATCCTTTTCAATCTGAGTTCACCTAGCAAGCTTTCAATTTTCTTCCCTAAATATGTAATATGAAGGTTTGAAGTTTAAAGTATTTATTTATTGTCAACATGCCCAAGGGCGGAAATGGTGCAGTGGAATCCTTACCACGCGAGCGGTCCGGGGATCAAATCCTGGGTCGTGAGTCGCCCGGGCCAACCAAGCCTTCCATCCCTCCGGGGTCGGTTAATTGGTACCAGACTTGTCTGGGAGGATAAAAACACACATCGGCTGGCCCCCGCAAGTCATTGTATAGGCCACATCGCATTCAAACGCCACTACGAATGTACAAATGGAAGTAGAATGCGTGCCGCATCCCAAAAAGGGATTGATCAACGGCAAATGCTTTATCCTTTATTCTTACAACATGTCCATATAAGTGTAGAGCCATCACCAGAATGTTACTTGAAGCAGTGAGTTACTATTGTATTCCTACTTTTTGCATTGTTTGCTGTATGACAACGTCTACAACGCTATTAATTACTACTTCGATCTGCCCTGTATCTGTTGCACATGTCTCATGAACATAAATATTTCTCTTTTGGTTCTTGTTCCGCTGCTTGAATTTCTTCGTGATATAGTCTAGTGCCGGTCGATACTCCTGCGGACCTGAACTGATTGATAAATTATTCGATTACTACTTAACTATGATTACTTTTCTTGCTTACTTACTTACTTACTTAATATATTGTACTATAATTACTAAATATAAGTGAATCGGTTACAATGACCTCTGAAATACTGTTATAAATAGGAGTGAAGAAGGCATATGCCTTTCTTATATATAAAATGAGGTGAGAAGCTTCAACTCAGATCATTCATGGAGACTTTAGTGCCCTATCGATAAATTCTTTAAAAGAAAATCTCTAGAGCTCATTCAAGGTTTCTAATTTGTAGTAATGTATGAGCTCAAAGGGGAGGATCGGTAATAAATCTATGTTTTTATACCACTGAAAGATGAAAGTAGAATGGGAGTGGATGCAGAAGGAAAGAAGGAATGAAAATCTTGAAAAGGATAGGATATAAACCCTCTTGCTCAATGCTGCAGAGAAGCCCAGAAGGCAGGCACCAAGGTAAGAGATAATGTGAGCTGCTGCAAAGGTAAGAGTTCGAGTAGGAGTGCATAGCAGATGACCATAGTGTAGTGCAAAGTGATGGACCACACACCTCAATTCTGGAAAGCAACTATTTCAGTAAGGCTGTCTCGAATTTGCCTTTCAGGTAAAGTCAGAAATTCGCCAGGGTGAGGTCTTCTAACCTTCTGAGGCCTCGTGACCGAAGAACCCGAAACATACTAACTCCTGGTGCAACGGTGCTGTACTCAGATGACAAGAACGGAATATTAACGGTACCCTGGGGCTAAATTGCGAGGCTGAAATTAGCTACAACCTCTCCTCCGACTTACCGCAGCCCCTTGCAAGTTCTCACTACACAGTGCGAATGCCACGGATTAGCATGAAACCAAGAGAAGTCAGGGTTGCAAGCTAACTTAGGAGAACGGCAGGATTGAGTTGCAGAAGCGCTAGCATCAGAAGAAGCTCAACGAATTTCGTACCAAATGTTTGGAGTGACTGAGACGGAACAGAAGAGCGTGCACACGGGGGAAATGAAGCGCTTTCTACCTTCAAACCCGAAAAACACGAACAGCATTGAGAGGAGCAGCTTTTAGTGTTGTCTCGAAATTCTGACTGCAGCTTCTTTGAAGGATGTAGGCCCCCCATGATCTGAGTAAAGTCCCCGGAGCGATAGCAGTGAAGATCAACATGGTCCTGATTTTCACGAATATCTCGGGGAGTCGTTTCGTTAGCAGTAACAGAAGAGCAGCTATGAAGAAGAAGCCGAAGATTTGGACGCAAGAATTCGTGTCGCGAAGATCAGAGTACTTTGTTGAACGAAATAGTGCAGAACGTTATCTTCACGCTTGCTTTCCAATCGCGAACATGGCTTCCAACCACAGTTGGCGTCGAGTGTCGGAATTCACTATGAAATTCTCGCTTGGAGGAAATAATGGGCCGACAACACAATCATGTTGAATGCACATTACTGAGTAGCCTATGCGGATTCAAACTTGAACTGTTGAACATCACAAGTCTTTCTTCCGATGCCGCCTAATGAATGCCGCATCTAACAAGCGTCGTCGCACGTTTCCGCTAGATGGGGTTGCTTCTCCACAGACTGCCGTTAACACTTATTACCTTTTTTGAAAAAGTCACTATAGAAGGGCGGAAGTGGTGTAGTGGCAAGTGGCACGCTTACCACGCGAGCGGTCCGGGGATCAAATCCTGGGTCGTGAGTCGCCCGGGCCAACCAAGCCTTCCATCCCTCCGGGGTCGGTTAATTGGTACCAGACTTGTCTGGGAGGATAAAAACACTGGCTGGCCCCGCAAGTCATTGTATAGGCCACATCGCATTCAAACGCCACTACGAATGTACAAATGGAAGTAGAATGCGTGCCGCATCCCAAAAAGGGATTGATCAACGGCAAATGCTTTATCCTTTATCCACCATAGCATGGAATAGACCTTACCTTTATAATGCTTTAAAGCACATGTGATATTCACTCGTGTGATTTTTTCTGCAAACAGATCGATTTTGTTAAGAAATAGAATCATTGCAGTGCTAGAGAACCACTCGTTATTGCAGATTTGATCAAATAATTCGATCGAGTCCTTCATGCGATTCTGAAATACTTGTTCGTCAGGAGATACAGCGGTTCATCATCAAACGATACTTTTACAAATAGGAGATGGTATCGACAGGCCTTGTAAATTTCCATGCAACTGTGATGTACGATATCTAAGAGCGCAGTACAGATGTAACAATAGTATGCAACTGCGCGGTTAAAAAATCTCTGCTTCAAATGTAGAGTTATCGCTTGCCCACGAGACGGTCATTCAAACATCGGCTAATGAAGTCACGCCGGTCACGCGGCGGGCAGCGTCGCGCGCGGCAAATGGTACGGCGGTTTTTGGATGGGCCTTGGCTTAACGTCCTTGTCCATAAGTTTCTGGTGGGCTTAGAGAACTGAAAACATTAAATTTACAGAGATGAGTGAGCCTACAAGAGTCACTTCAAAAACTCCGAGATCAAGCTGTCTGAATTGTTATCAGGGAGCGATAATCTGGCTTATACCGTGTTTCACGACGTTGGGAATCTTATTAATCCTCATTCGTATACGCCTGCTGCGGACCTCTGATCGCGTACGGACGGTTTTCGTAGTGTGCTCGAAGCTTTATGCCTCCATCACATTCTGCGGCTTAGTTCCTGCCTTCCAGATTTTTAGGCATTGGTAATTGAGTAGTATCTACCTGCCGAGATCAATGGTTTTTGAGACCCCCAAAGTCTCGTGTCCAGGTGGATGCAGAAAGATCCAGATTATCCGTTTCCTTGTTTGATATTCGTTATGTCTCTAGGAAATGTTACTAAGTTCCCACCTCCACATTATGCAAGAAATTGTTCTCAAAAAGCAGGAGGCGATTTGAAAGACCTTCCTGGTTAGTCTCCTACAGCTGTCAGCAATCAGTGGGAGCCTACGAATACATAAACTTACCACAGTGTGATCTTCAGCAAGGGTTTGGTTATAGTCCGATAGAGAAGTTATGAAGAGTACGGCGTGAACGTCTCAATCTGGTATCATTTTGGAGCTGGCTTTGGCACACATTCAAAATCTAAAAATAAATCGAGGTATTTCAGTGAGATGGGATAACTTATTTCAATAAGGCAAATGATTTCTTGTAACAATGTTTAACCGTTGAGGAAAGGCGTGAACGCGGTAAGGTCCACCGCTGTGAACATCTGGACATCGACGGCGAAGGTTCCACCCCAAGTATTTTTTTCTGCTTGCGACTTTTCTTAAGTTTTGTATGCATTCTACAGGCCATACATTTACATAACCAAGAGCCATATGGTTTCCATAGAGGTAAAATATTCTTTTAGTTTGGCGGAGGTTTTTCACCTTAGGGATATGTCTGTTCACTTCATTGCTCGTTTTCCTTTCGTTAACGTGAACTTGTTGATTAAAGGAACAATAGAAGCGAATACAAACCTAATCGAATGGGAAGATATGAAACTACCAAGAAAGTAGGTAAAATGTTGACCTTTTTATTAGGACGGAACGCCATTTTGGTCACTTATTGCTGTGATCGATAGCTCGACGATAACGTATTTGAAAAATCATTGCAACGGCCATTGCGTATGTACAGCTTGAAATCCATGATTTGGTGTGCGGCGTAGGCTCTCGCAAAATCGCTCTTGTCCCAAGGGGTGCAAAAACACAAAACGCGCGATGTCGTCGACGTGTTAAAGAATGCTGGTGAAATAATCACGTTGCGTTTTCATTACTGGAACACGAGAGTCATACCTGTGTGCTGGAAAAAAGATATGGGCTGTGTGAGCAGTCGTTAGCAGGTAGCTTCCAAACTTGTTAGAACTCTTCACACGTTCTTTGTGCAGGTGACTATAGGCTATCACTGAGCAAGTGACGTAGTTGGGAGCCTCTATCAACCTGTTGCGTATAGAAGGGAAGACTATGGGGAAGTCCGTACTACGATTTCGGCCTGAGCTGTGCCAAACCGTGCTTTAATGTTGTTCACCCCCATTAGACATACTGAGGTTAGCAGTATTTGAGACGGGTCCCAAAAAGTCACGCACAATGACCCGAGCACGCTTGCGGTAACTTTCGCGCTTTTTACTTGGCCGGCGCTCGGTAGCGATACGTACTCTGGTCACGATAGTCGCAGTAGATGGGGCATGGCATCTGCAAGAGCCGTAAAATTGCAGCCTTAGAGGTGGATTCTTCAAAGGTAGGTAGTAAGTGAAAACAAAAAAACAAGAGGGTGGTCAGGGGAGGGGATGAGAGATCCATAGAACGGCGCGTCGACGGTCCTCAGCAATGGGATCCTTTCCTCACGCTGATTTCCGCATTGATGCGGCTCGCATCGTTGTGCCCCTTTCAACGCTGACGCGCTCTCTTTGTCTGCTATCTAACTGGCCGCTATAGAACTGCGGTGAGTTTTTAAATAAACGGTAGGCCTTCCGGGTCAACTACGCTAAAATGAAGGCCATGCTAGATCGTCGGGAACATGTCGTATTGCGTTGTTGATCCGCATGTTTGAGTGTCGTGTCTTCCCGTAAAAGTTCCTATACGAACTTCATTTTCTTCGTGGAATCCTCCTTTGAAGGGATCACTGCTATCATGGAGACTACCTTTCAAGTCAGGGTCGCGCCTCTAGCAATTGGATAAAGGAGAGTAAAACACCTTCAGATGTTTTCCGGCTAACAAACCTGTTCCACAACTCACTTGAAAGTGGTGTTTTTGATGAGGAAAGTGAACTGCACGACACCTGACGTCGAAACTCGGCTTTTCAAAATATCCTCGGAGGAGGGAAGGTAGTCCTTCTATCTCGGCAACTCGCGAAGGAAGCTAAAGCGAGATAATTTTTGAGACAGTGATTGCTGTGCTAGTATCGTGATTTTAGACTCAAGATTGATCGATGGAATATGTATTTATGGTCTTTTCGAAACAGTGAACTTACTACATGAAGCTTTCTTCGATACCAAGATCGGAGCCTTGCTGAATCACTTCCTGAATAGCAGCGTCTTCCAGAAGTCTGTACATTGAGTTGTCACTAACCAGGAAAGGCATTCAACTTCCCATGGAACTTTGAGATGAGACCCAGATATATCGATATAGCTTCAAATGCTGATTACAAACATGGAAACTAAAACTGCAAAATGAGCCTGCCAAGGAAGTTGTGAGCAGTCAAAGTTGGCTGGAGGTAAAGCATTACATTAGTCTTTGGGCTTTCAAAGTAGTGGTAGTGCTCTCGGGATTTGCGCTCTGACGGGAGGAGAGCTTATGACCTCCAGGGTGAATAGCGAGGGCACCACCACTGCTCCGCGGTGACTATGAAATCCCGGAGGCTAGTGTGATGCTTTACTTCCAGCCAACTTTGACTGCTGTCCGACCGCCCTTAACTTCTTTTTGAAGGGAAGGTGGGCTGCCTGTTTAAGAGTTTTGCATCAGAGTTTTTGCATCGCTTCTTTCCTATTCGCCGTTTACTCGCATTACATGGCATTATCGACCTTTTAACTGCAATTAGATCTGGAATGGTTGGTTCGAGGCGCAAATACGATGAATTCATGAATCGGTTTAGTATTTATTTGGTGATGTAGTGAAGCTATGGTGCGTTCTGACCGACTTGAAAAGCACAGCCAGGAGGCTAAGGCTTTCAGCTCGGCAAGATCCATTCAGATGCCGGGCCGACGCAGAAAGCAAATCGTAAAATGCACTATGACACACACAAGTGTGAACGAGGAGTGGCACTGGGTCAACAAGAGCACGGTTGTGGCCGCCAGCTTCGTGAAATTTATCCACATTCACATTTCCATTCCGTGGGAATTCATTCGACATACATATTTTCATGATTTTCTCTTTCGTTTCATTTCCAGCGGTCCAATTAGCATGATTATCTTCATTGTTGAACGCGATCATCACACCAACATCGCGGTGTGATTTTATCAGTATTCCTTCCACTGCTGACGCATTTCTACTCGCAAGGCCGAGGGTTGAAAGTGTGCCAAGAGATGTGCTGCAATGACACACTGACAGACCATGTTGCTAGCAAGAGCTGTAATGGAATTTTCATCCCTACCCTCTCTCCTTCCGCTCGAACTTACCTTCATGCTTTGCTGCAGGATAAGACCCTGGAGCTACTACTCAACATAATCGTTATTCAATTGTAAACAGCTAATATGATCCTAAACTGACCAGATGAAATAAAAGTCGGTTAATGGCAGGAAAGGTAGGTAAAGGATGCTCAATAAGTTATTCGAGCATTGAGGAAACACTTTAGCATTTCCTGTGAGCAGGCGCTTATTGGGATTGAGATTTTCTCCATGGTCGTGAATTCTTAGTTGAGAAACTTGACTAGCGTGATTTAGGTAGTTGAAGGTTCTTGTCTACGATCCTGTTGTTCACGAGGGGATTCTAGAGCAAGGCATCAATAATGTTCTGGTGAACGCCAGTCGGCGTTTTCTAGAATAGCGCCCCCCCCCTCTGGTGAATATGGTCCCTTTTTCAGTGTGCGCGCGACGAGTTTCTCTCCGAGCCCTTGTTCGATCATGTACACTCAAACACACCGAAAGCAACTGTGGAGGCAGAGATCGCCTTCCAGAGAAGTCGCCGATCAATGGAAGGACGGCAGATTTGGAGAATTTACCGAGCATGAAACATGCCAATCCAGGCTCAACAAGGAGGTAACCCATCCAATATTACCTCTTCGAGACAATTGGATCAAAAAACTTCGTTACAAATCAATAAAATGTAAATAAACTGCACAAGAAAACCTATTAGTTTACCTAGCTATAGCGTCCGCAACAACTTCTGTGAGTTCTGCAGCATCGCTGTTCCTTACCTCTTCGTAATATTTCGTTATCTTTCTCGTCAGCTCCTGAAATCCGCACTTAGCCAGCCATAAATGGACACTCCACACTTTTGTTCGATGTCAAACCTCGGAATTGGGATTCTGGAATTTTCTAGCGGTGGCAGATACAACGTGAATGACCTCCACCATTCCAGCTATAAGATTCAAATTCACGACATATCGGCGCTGTCGCTTTTCGCTTTCAGTGAAACCTTGATCATGGATTATCCTAAAAACGATGGATAGGGAATACATTACGTAATTTTGGATTGGATCCTCACCTTATTTGCTTCAATGTGGTGCTCTTTCCTGAATCTCCAGGACCTAAAAATATCATTACATCATTACATCTCAACAGTACCCTTTTTATTTGCCAAGAATCTGTGCTTAGCCTAGACGTTATGCGACAACTTGAGCGCTGGTTTTGCCGAACAAGTATTTGAGCTGCTATCTGCCTTTTCATGCAGTCGTTCTGGGTTCGTTGAGTGAAAATCCCAAGGGCAAAATGCAAGCTTCAGAATGCAATGTGAAAGAGCTTTCAGGCCGCGCTTTTCAAGCACCGCCACGTGGCGATTGGCAGCGGTGGTGGCGCTCGCGGACGAAGGTGCGTACTGCGGGTCAAGCGAGCTTCCTAGCGTCTCTGTCGCGCGACATCAACGCTCGTCCGCCTGTCCACTACGCACGGGGATGGTACACTGACCCTGCCTCATCCCGGAGAGCGCCTTCAAGTAATTTTTACCTCGTTTCTCATTGCTTTCAACACGTTGACGACAGAGCGCTGCACTTTTTGAGCACTATGTGGGACCGTGTGTAGCGCATGCGCTGCACACCCATACAGATATTTTTTTTTCGCGCATGCGCTACTTCTTTTCTAATTTTTTGCATCTATTCTATAGACCACACCATAATATGACTAGACACGGCGAGGTTCATCGAATGGTTGAATATGCTCCTTTTTAGCGAAGGTTTTCCAAGTCCTACGAATTTCCCAATTGTGTTCATTCCTAGTTTCTTTATATTCTCATAAGCTTGGTCATAAAAAGGAGTAGTAGAAGTATGTCGTTTCATATCATTTCGGTCAAACTTTTAAAATTGTACTTTTCGAAAACTGAGCACATCGATGCCATCACAATCATTTTGACGCATTCAGCTCATAATCCACGGATAGTGTAAACCCTCCTTAGTATGTTTTCCATGATTGGCCTGACAGAATAATATCATATATAGAAAAGTGAAGTTGAATACCGAGTGCAATCGCAGATGCAGCGGCGGTTCCGAAAAAGAACACAAGGGCTTCAACTTACTGAAAGGTTTTCTGTCAGGTGAGACGTACGAATTATAATGACGGGATGAGAGACAGTATAACGTAGCTTGAAGTATAACGTAGCTTGTCATTATCCTCCTGGGGAGGATAATGACACTCCTCTTGATCAAGACGAGGTAAAAGCAGTTTAATTAGATTTTTCGCACAATTGCAAAACAAGGCACTCATTCTAAATGTTCTCTGGATTTTCTTCAAAATTTCTTCACTTCACGCCAAATATCCGTTAGAGGGCACCCGAATTGTTTCAAAAAAATACTTCGATTTGCAGGCTCCGAAGATAGCAAGTGCGCCGTAACGTAAGCCGAATATCCCAGTATCCCAATCTCTGAGGCTTGAACAGAAGCAGTTACAATCATGCCGAGGTTAATAGAGTCATTCATGGTTTAGCCATAAATGAAGCATTTAAAAATAAACTATCTGTGCCCAGGTTAAAGCAAAAAACAAAATATACCTAATAATAAACACAAGAAATGGAAACAAAAATGAGCAAAGGAAACGGCAACATTAGTTACCTAGGAGCAGCAACTTCAGAGCTTTTTTCTTTCGGTCTTCTTCGAGTTCCTTCTCAATTGTTCGGCTGACTTGCTCTTGATGATGCTGGAATCACACGTTATTCTCAAATCTTTCAGTGGCATCCTTTTGGGACACGGCAGGGGCTAGCAGTTCATAAAGCTTTGCGTCTATAGCCCGAAAATATCATAGAGACTTGGGTATAAGGAAACGTTGCACGGCACGTCCCTTCTGCTGCAGGATGGTAATAGATTGTCGCTTCCGCGCTATGTGTGAGGTATGGTGGATGTATTTCGCAACGGTCGACTATAGGGTTGATCCATAATTTCTGGCCGAATTTCAACACTTTGATTTCTTCAAGTTTTCTCTTTCCTTAAAAACGATTGATCAAAAAAGTAACCACCATCATAATCACTGATAAGCATCCACTTGCTAGGGAGCGAATGGATGCATTCCTCCCAGAATGAATGGAGCTGTGGAATGAAAAGTTCGGAGAGGTCGTTTTTGGGGTGGTTGCATTTACTGACTGTTTTCTCTGAAAGCTGCTGCTTCAGAGGAGCTGAGGAGGTGATAGTACGATGGAGTAATGTCAGGCTATACGACAGATGTGGTGCCGTGGTCCAGCCAGTTTCCTTCGAAACGTGGCGAGTTATCTTTGCAATGTGATTTCGGGCGGTCCTTCGGAGAAAGGAGATTTTGAGACGTTTCGAACCGTTCTCCCGCACTGCTGTAGCCAACTTCGGGAGCTATTCCATGGTCACCTTCGCAATGCTTGTCTGCATAAAGTGAAATGGTTCCCAAAACAGGATACCCAGCGAATCCAACGAACCGGTGGTCATATCATCTATTGAGAGAGCTCATGCTTTGGTCGAGATGGTGAGTCCAGGCTGCGAGGTAGCCACAAGGCGTGCTGTGTTTTGTGGGCTCATGACTCATCTGCACTAGTGACCAACTAGGGAACGTCGTGACTATATGGTCGAAGAATGAAACTTCTGCAGATGGTCAGGCGTGCCTCTCGAACATGATCAGTCGATGCCTGCTGTTTCCATCGAGTCTCCATTCTGCTACAGCCCCTTTCGCTCAGGTATCGACTCATGGAGCATAGGCTGCGTACAGGTGTTTGCTACAGTTTCCTGCTAATAGCGTCAGGATGCACTTCCTATTCGTTGCGCAAGGGTCCTCATCCAAAGTGACTGGAGGTCCATGATGAGGTCGAACTTTGCAGCTCCTATCGTATTTGCCGATGCTATTGAGCCAATAGCTCAGTGCCCGATCAGTAGCAAAGACTGGGGCAAACGTAGCGCTGATCTTGCCTACCGCGCTCCTTGCAAGGTTCTTCTTAAATTGTCGTAAGGCATAATGGTTGGGTTTGGTCGTTGATCTATTTTGATTCCTACTTAATTATCCCTTGCGCATTTGAGCTTCTGAAACATCCTGGCTGAAGGTCCTGATGTGTTCTTCAACATATCAACTTATTTCGATATGAAGTTAATTTGACATATTGAAAATTGAATTTGAACCAAAATCGGCCAGAAATTATGGATCAACCATATCAGCTAGGGAGGTTTCATGAATCAGTGGTTTGTTATTTCTGAATGTGTACGTATTCAACGCAAATATGTAGGTTGGGCAACATTGTGAAAACCAGGCGCGAGTGCCGAAACTTCAAAAAATTCTTCAAGCATAGGTTTTCATTTCATTTTCATTTCATTTTCATTTTTTGAAATTTCCACTTTATCTCGTTCGTGCATGTTTTGTTTTACATATATGAAGTATAACACAAGACTGTTGTGTCAAAAAAATGATAGCGCCATAAAGAAAGAGGCAGGAATTACAATTATGCATAATAACTTGTAAAGTAAATAAAAAACAAGAACAAAGAGGGTCATTCTTAGGCCATGCCGGAAGTCATGGCTGTAGTGCCGACTCATCCAAATCCCATTCAACTCAGCATTTTGAAAATCAGGGAGTGGCATGGACAATAGATGGACAATATATGGTGTTTTCTTGGATAATAACTCAGTACAGGTTGTTTTTTGAAGACAATTCTATGGCGCATGCCCCAAGCAAAATTGTAATGTCCACATTTACAAAGATCGCCACCTTGCAACCATCACCTTCCCGTACAATCCTCCTGCTGCGGTTGTTGCAAAGATCACATGCATTACGTCGTAGCGGTAAATAGTACTGCAAGGTAATTTTTAGGATTGAATAAGCAGTTGATTTGCTTATGGGTGGAAAGGGTGGTTTATAACACGCTCCTTCCTCATCCAGTTGGAGTGCTACTAGAAGAGGGGTCTTGCTTGAGACATTCGGCAACTTCTGCATTTTTTTACTCTTTTCAGATCACTCTCCACCACACACTTGGTTACTAAACGTCCTTACAGACCATTTTATTCGGACTTACCTCACTTCAGGCTCAAATCACGTTCCTTTCTGCGTGGCGATTTTTGGCTTTCGACTTTTGGATTTTTGGGAAGGGCTAGAGAAGGTGGAATTAAAGCCGCCTCAGCACTCTGGCACGTGCTACGCGACCAAGTGCGTTGGTGATCAATCGGCTCACATCCAGAATAAACCTTCACGTAGACAATTTGAGGTAAGGCACGCTCTCCCCTTCTCGTGAAGTGGTCTCTTAGGACGCTCATCACATTTGCCACTTCTCTGCTAGTCTTAGCCTTATTCTTTGAGCGCAGGCTACCTTATTACTCCCAATTCTCTGAAGTCTGTCCAAACATAGGTTATGACAGTGCCAATGTTGCGGCTTGCACCCTGCCGTAGCGACAGCACCGGTGTATCGAGCGCTCAACCGCACACTCCGGGACCCTTCGGGCCCCAGAGCCCCATCGAGACCACGACGCCTCACCTGCGCACCTCTCGCAGGCGAGGCGAACCTATCCCCTGAGGATCATGGAGATCTTAGAAGACCATACACTGAATCCTACCTGAGTCACAGCCACGGCT